GACCACATCTGAGGAAGAAGGAGAGATGAAGACCGCATGTTAGAAGTCCTATCCTAGATGAAGACCACATCTGAGGAAGAAGGAGAGATGAAGACTGCATCTCGCAAAGGATAAGATAAAGACCGTATCTTAGAAGTCACATCCTAGATGAACACCACATCTGAGGAAGAAGGAGAGATGAAGACCGCATCTCGCAAAGGATAAGATGAAGACCGCATCTCGCAAAGGATAAGATGAAGACCGCATCTCGCAAAGGATAAGATGAAGACCGCATCTTAGAAGTCACATCCTAGATGAAGACCGCATCTGAGGAAGAAGGAGAGATGAAGATCGCATCTCGCAGAAGATAAGACAAAGACCACATCTTAGAAGTTACATCCTAGATGAAGACAGCATCTTGCAAAAGATAAGATGAAGACTGCAACTTTCACTTACACATTGTTTTCAAAGCTTAAAATTGGGTTATTCTTTTATTCTTTACTTTTCCTTTTACAAAAAAAAAAAAAGTAAAGAGGGGAAACTGTCATAACCCAATTTTAATTGGGGCTAAATGATAAAAGGTTAAATGCTAAATTTGGTCCCTCAACTTTAGTGAGTTGCACGTTTTGGTGCTTCAACAATTTTTTGCACTTTTTTGATCCCTCAACTATATGAAATGTACTCCGTTAGTCCTTTTGTCATTTTTCGCCGTTAACTTGGCCACATGGCATTTTTTATATTTTTTTTGGATGACATGGCAAAAATAACTTAAAAGGTGCTGATTTGGACTTTTTTTGGCGACATGTCATCTTCCTTTCTCATCTTCACTCTCTGCAAAATCAATCTCCACTCCATCTGTAGAATCAATCTCCACTCCATCTGCAGAATCAATCCTAACCCATTTCTTCTTCTTCTCTAAATGCTCTCTCATCTCCACTCCTCTACAAAATCAATCTTAACCCATTTCTTCTTCGTCTCTTTTCTGAAGAGAACTTGAGAAATTGAACCCAGTTACTAGGTTTCATTCAAGCCTCAAACTTAGTAAATCTTATCAAATCAAATTAACCCTTCAATAAACAATATCAATCAAACTCTAATCAAACTCCAACAAAAATACAATCAAATTGTAAATCAACTCTCAAATTTATTAACAACTGGAAATGAAAATCCAAAGAAGAATGAAAAAACATGAATCCAACATCGAAACAGCAAAGCTGGGTTCATCGGAACCCAGCTAGGTCTTGTCGAACCCAGCAGTTGGGTTCGGGTAAACCCAGCCTTGCTGGGTCTCGTCGGAACCCAGCCTTGCTGGGTCTCATCGGAACCCAGCAGGGGAGACCCAGCAAGGGAGACCTAGCCAGGTTGGGTTTGATGAGACCCAGCCTTGTTGGATTCGACGGAACCCAGCCAGATCTGGGTTTCGTCAAACCTAGATCTGGCTGGATCTCCCCGAACCCAGCAAAGCTGGGTTCCAACTAGACCCAACAGGCTGGATTAGATGAGACCCAACAGGCTGGGTTCCGACGAGATCCAATAGGCTGGGTTCGTCACAGCCATCGGAATCCAGCCTGGTGGAGACCCAGGGTAGTAAAGAAAGAAAGAGAAAGAAAGAAAGGGAAGAAGAGGGATTGGGTGGGTGAGGGTAGTTAGGTAATTTTATTTGTTTTTATTTAAACTATAAATATTAATCTACGTGTTATTTTTATTTATTTATATAATGTTATTAAAATCTCTATTATTGCCACATCATCAAAAAAAATTAAAAGATAATGCCACATAAAATTATTTAACTGCCACATCATACTTAACTGACGGAGGGACCAAAACTGTGAAATTTTTAGAGTCGAGGGATAAAAGAAATGCAAAAAATTGTTGAGGGATAAAAATGTGCATTTCTTAAAGTTGAGAAACTAAATTTAGCATTTAACCATGATAAAATTAGAAGGTAATGGACTATTTTTTATAAAGGCTGGAAACTTGAAGGGCTGAGAAGAAAAAATGGCAAAATGATGTCGTTTTGACCAATGGGCTAAAAAATAAAAATGGGCTGGGTTTAGACGAACCCTAGCCCTAATTTTTCTTGCTTCCTTTTGCTTTGCCGCCAACCATTCTCCTAAAAACTCCCAAATTCTTTTGATTTATCTCTAAATCCATTCAAAGTTTGGATAGATCACAACAACACAAGAAGCGATTTTCGGATTTGAAGTCTTTATCAAGAACTGAAGGGGAAGTTTTTGAAGCCGATTCAAATGAGGAGTCCTGATCTTCAAAAGGTATGAATCTAGTCTTGAAAAAGGGAAAACGTGTAAAAGACTAGATTAGTTTTAGAATTCCAATTTCAAATAGGATTAGATTATTATCTGTAATTTTGGGGATTGGGATTAGAATTTAGAATTAGAAAAGGATTGGAGTCCTCTCTATTTCTGTATAAAAGGGGGGCATCTTTGACTTTAGGGGAGGTTGAAAATTGGGGAAAATTGAGGGAGAAGGGGAGAAAATTAGCGAAACTCAGAAGGAATATTGGAGAGACCGAGAGGGAGAAGGAGAGCAGAGAAGAAGAGGAAGTACAGCAACTTGTATTCGAAATTTCAAGGAATATAAAGTCTGATTTTTCTATATTTTTTAGGTGTGTTTTTTATTTGTGTTTTTTTTTTTGGTCATATTTTTCCTTCTTCTTCTTTCTTTGTAACTAGTAATTGCTTGGCTTCCCTTTTAAATTGTTTCTTTTCTGTTTTGTCTGCAATTGATCTAAAAAAGGGGTTTATTGGTTGTGTCCCTACTGCAACATGATTTTAGTTGCTTCTCCCACATTAGTTTTGTTTCTTGTGATGCAAAATCGTCACTGGCAGAATTTTCTTGTTTAGGAAAAGTTAACTTGATGTTATTCATGAGTTTTTTTAGGATCTATTATTATACAATAATAGGAAAAAGGATTTGGGAAAAGAAAATCTCTTAGGAAATATGAGGTGGGGTTTAGGCATTAGGAGGAAAAAACAGAAATGAAAATAAAGTCGAGAAAAAAAAGAAAAGAAAAGAAAAGAAAAGAACAAAAGAAAAAAAACAAAAGCAAAAAAAAAAAAGAGAAAAAAACAGAAATGAAAAAAGAAAAAAAAGGAAACAGAGAATAAAAAAAATGATTGAGGAAATTTTTTTCTTTTTTTGAAGTGATTTTTTTTGAATTTTTTTTGTTTATTTTATTTGGTAATTATTATTTTATAAAAATTGAAAAATACCCCAAAATTAAAGTATGTGGTAACCATAAAAATATGGAAGTTTGTGGGGTGCCTAATACCTTCCCCACGCTTAACCGACCCTCCGAGCTTAGTCAATTTCTACGAAGGCCTTGGTGATCTATCCCACCTCATTTGGATAGATGGCAACTCCATCCATTTTGGCACGTCAACAGTTCGGCAACATCTCGCAAAAGATAAGATGAAGACTGCATCTAAGGAAGAAGGAAAGATGAAGACTGCATCTCGCAAAGGATAAGATGATCGCATCTTAGAAGTCACATCTTAGATGGAGACCACATCTGAGGAAGAAGGAGAGATGAAAACTGCATCTCGCAAAGGATAAGATGAAGACCGCATCTGAGGAAGAAGGAGAGATGAAGAGCGCATCTTGCAAAGGATAAGATGAAGACCGCATCTTAGAAGTCACGTATTAGATGAAGACCACATCTGAGGAAGAAAGAGAGATGAAGACCGCATCTCGCAAAGGATAAGATGAAAACCACATCTTAGAAGTCACATCTTAGATGAAGACCGCATCTGAGGAAGAAGGAGAGATGAAGACCGCATCTCCAAAGGATAAGATGAAGACCGCATCTTAAAAGTCACATCCTAGATGAAGACCGCATTTGAGGAAGAAGGAGAGATGAAGACCGCATCTCGCAAAGGATAAGATGAAGATCGCATCTTAGAAGTCACATCCTAGATGAAGACCGCATCTGAGGAAGAAGGAGAGATGAAGACCGCACCTCGCAAAGGATAAGATGAAGACCGCATCTTAGAAGTCACATCTTAGATGAAGACCGCATCTCGCAAAAGATAAGATGAAAACCGCATCTCGCAAAAGATAAGATGAAGACCGCATCTTAGAAGTCACATCTTAGATCTCAGGAAGAAGAGGAGATGAAGACTCCATCTTGCAACAGATAGATGGAGACTGCAACTTTCACTTATACATTGTTTTCAAAGCTTAAAATTGGGTTATTCTTTTATTCTTTACTTTTCCTTTTATAAAAAAAAAAAGAAAGTAAAGAGGGGGCAACTGTCATAACCCAATTTTAATTGGGGATAAATGATAAAATTAGAAGGAGATGGACTATTTTTATAAAGATTGGAAACTTGAAGGGCTGAGAGGAGAAAATGGCAAAACGACGTCGTTTTGACCAATGGGCTAAAAAATAAAAAAAAAAAGAGGCTGGGTTCAGACGAACCCTAGCCCCTCACTTTCACGATTCTTCTTCTTGCCATGAGCCACTCTCCCAAAATTCCCAAATTCTTTTGATACAAATCCACTCGAAGTTTAGATAGATCACAACAACACAAGAAGAGATTTTCAGATTTGAAGCCCTTATCAAGAGTTGTAAAAGAAGTTTTCGAAGTCGATTCAAATTGGGAGTCCTGATATTTTAAAGGTATGAATCTAGCCTTAAAAGAGGGAAGATGTGTAAAGAACTAGATTGGTTTTAGAATTCCAAATTCTAATAGGGCTAGATTATTATCTGTAATTTTATGGATTGGGATAAGAATTTAGAATTAGAAAAGGGTTTGAGTTCTCCCTATTTCTGTATAAAAGGGGAAGCTTCGGCTTTGAGTGGGGATGGGGAAAAATTGAGGGAGAAGGGGAGAAAATTGGCGAAGCTCAGAAGGAATATTGGAGAGATCGAGAGGGAGAAAGAGAGCAGAAAAGAAAGGCAAATCAGAAACTTGTACTTGGGCTTCAAGAAATAAAGTCCTAATTTTTCCTATTTTCTGCAGGTGTGCATCATTCTTAATTTGCTCTTCTGCGATTCCTTCTTGTTATATTCTATTCTTTCTTCCTCTCTTTGGTGATTGGTAGTTGCTTGATTTCCCTTTTAAATTGTTTATTTCCATGTTTTGCCTGAAATTAATCTTGAATCGAGAAAAAAAAATGTCATGAAATATTAATTTTGGGAATTCTACCAATAAGGCAGAATCTTTTTGGGAGAAGTCAGTTTGTTTGTTTTTGTTTAACCATAGAGGATTTATTTTTCGGAGATATTATCATTACTTTAAGAGATGCATCAGGTAAAGAAAAAAAAAGAAAGAATAAAAAGGAACTTTCTTAATGGCTGGGTTTAAAAAAAAAAAAATAGAAAGAAAAGCAAGCAGAGACGAAAAGAGAGTAGGGGAGGAAACAATGTAGAAAAAAGAAAACAAAAAAAGGAAACCGAAAAAAAAAAGAAAAAAAAAAGGAAAAGAAAAAGAAATGATGAGATTCTTTGTGCTTTTGGAAGTAATCTTTTTTTTATTATTATTGCTTTATTTTATTTATTTATTTATTTTCTTTGGTAATTATTATTTTATAAAAATTGAAAAATACCCCAAAATTGAAAAATACCCCAAAATTAAAGTATGTGGTAACCGTATTTATATGGAAGTTTGTGGGGTGCCCAACACCTTCCCCACGCTTAACCGACCCTCCGAGCCTAGTCAATTTCTACGAAGACCTTGGTGATCTATCCCACCTCATTTAGATAGATGGCGACTCCATCCATTTTGGCACGTCAACAGGTGTTGCTGTTGGGTTTAAAGCTTTAAGCTACCTCTTGATTTTTTTATAAGTAATGTTGCTTTTGACTTAAGAATTTGAGACGATGAGAAGTGACATTCATTTGTCGAATTTCTCCACTAATGACTAGCTTAATTAAAACTCCATTACTCATTAAAATGTTGGTTACCTTAGTTTAAGCTGATATGGCAGCTTATGTCACGTGGCATGTTTTAGTAGAGAGGGACATGGTTAACATGGTTTCCCTTCCTCTATTGATGAGAATTATTATTATTATTTATTTAAAAATATAGTTTCATTTCATATTCCCATAGAGTATGCTAAAAAAAATTACATATGACCAATATCATCTATTACAAGTTGCACAATAGTCCAGGGAACTTCTTCAATCCAATTCGTTCTCTATGCCAATTTGTGTGTTACTTTGTTCCCCTCCTGTTGAACATGCTATTGATTACAAAACACAATACATGCCAAAGCTCTACAACTTTGCTAAGTTGCCCCTAGTTCTGTGTTTAAAACCTATGACTCAGACAAAATTCCATTTAGAACATACAATTGTCACTTTTAACCAACAATCTCTTAAAATCTCCTTCTTGCACCCATTGTAGAACTCTATGCAAAGTACAGGCCTCAACTTTCTCAACAATTAACAATACATGTCTTTTACATGACATATCCACAATAACCTCTCTAACACAATCATGAACCACTACCTTTATTCCATGAGATTGATTTGGCAAAAAAGGGCACCATCCCATCAACATTTAACTTATAACATGTCTATTTTGGTGGCTACCATTTAACATTGCAACTTTGCTAGCTCATTCTTAAGCTCTACCTTACATAACCCACAACTACTATATACCCATTAAAATATCTTCCTTCATGCACAACAACCTACATGGATAGCTTCCTA